GGCCTTGAAATCATTTCCAGTAGAATCGATGGTTGAGCATGCAGTTAAGATAGGTACCAGATTGCGGTGCCGGACATTTCTCAAAGAACTACATTCTGCAATAAAGCTCTTTTGTGCTCCTCTCGTCTCCAGACTGAAGACCTTGATGGCAACAACATTTGCGTCACGAAACAACTGTCCTTTATAAACAGAACCGTATCTTCCCTGACCAATTAGATTGGATGCTGCAAAACCCCCTGTTGCTCTGACAATATCACTGTAAGAAATTTTCTGGAATTCTCTCCCGATAGAGGGTAAAGAAATGGATTCTGTCTTCTGTTTTTGCCTCCGGATGAAGAACACAACAGAAATGACTACAGAAAGTAGCACCACTATGGCCACTGGGATCACTACTTTCTGTTCAACTGATATCCTGTGCTTAGATGAATCCAAAGGCATGACATGACATGCAGGCAGGTGTAGCTCCAGCGGTCCACCACAAAGCTCCTGGTTTCCTTCAATCTGTATAGCAGTTGTATTCTTGAAGATCCCTGCTGGTGGCACCTCACCGTCAAGATTATTGAATGATAGATCAAGTTGCTTAAGAAGTTGTAGGCTGCCAAGAGACACTGGTATTGGACCAGTCAAGTTATTGTGAGACATGTTGAGAATCTGTAGGCTTGTCATATTGCCTAGTGAAGTGGGGATACTTCCGCTGAAAGCATTATGTCCCATCTCGATATCTTCTAAACTTTCACAATTACCAATAGTGCTAGGAATGTTTCCAGATAGGTTATTTGATGAAATATCCAAATATGTGAGTTGTTTGGCATTGCCGATGTCGGCATGAAGTGGTCCCTGTAGGTTGTTGAAAGATAAGGTAATCTCCCTTAATGTTAGAATTCTGAAGAGCTCCTTTGGTATGTTGCCTTGAAGATTGTTGTTGGAAATGTTCAGTGATCCAAGTGTTTGGAGGTTTCCTAGGATCGGAGGTATGTTTCCATCGAACTGGTTTGAGTCTATGTAGAGTTGTTCTAACTGAGACATGTTTGAAAAGGATGATGGAATGGCCCCGGTAAAGAAATTGTTGTTTAGTGTTACTTTCTGTAGATTTCTGAGAGTTCCAATCCAGTCTGGAACTACACCTATAAATTTATTGACGTTCAGTGCTACACTGATCAGTTTGTGAAGGTTTGCTATACCAGAAGGAAACTCCCCTGACAGTTGATTATATGCCAACTGTAGAAACAGGAGTTGACTGGAAAGGTTGCCCACTGAATTTGGTACATTGCCTTCTAGCTGATTCATCGATAGTGAGAACACTTGTAGCTCAGTGCAATTTGCTAAACTATTCATAAATTCCCAGTCTTGATTGTTACTTGCTTGTAATTTGTTTACCTCAAGATTTAACCAAGTTAATTTAGAAAGTTTACCAATGGAGCTAGGCACAACTCCGGTGAGCTTATTCCTTGATATATCGCAAAGGTACAGCATGGAAATATTTGTGAAAGAAGGTGGGATACGCCCAAGGAAAAAGCTGGAGCCTAACTCGAGCATTTCAAGATTGGGAAGAGAGTTGCCAATATTTGGTGGTAAATCTCCACTTAGATCACAGTCGGCCGCATTCAGTTCAGTTAGGCTAGAAAGATTAAGGATAGGCTGTGGAAAACTGCCAGAAAAATTATTGTCACCCATGTACAGATATTGCAGCCCTGACAACTTTGCAAACTCACTTGGGATGCTCCCTTCAATGCTGTTACTTTCAAAACCAAACACAAACAGTGCTGTGATGTTGGCAAGAGAATCAGGAATGGTTCCAGTCAGATTATTATACCCAAGTATCAGCTGTTGAAGGCCATGAGGCAAATCTGCAGGTATCTGTCCAGTTAGTTGATTATTGGACAGCCCCAAAACTTCAAGTCTGGAACAATTTGCAACACTGGGTATCCTACCTTGTAGCGTATTATTAATCAAGTTGAGCTCTTGGAGGCGATGCAGATGACCAAGGGATGGAGGGATCTCTCCAGTGAATGAATTAGTCGATAGGATCAGGATTCTCAGGAATGTTAAGTTTCCAAGCGAAGGGGAGATCGGTCCAGCTAAGCCTTGATTCTGAAGACGAAGAGAAGTGACACGATTTGGGTGCTTGGCGCTACACTGGACACCTTTCCAGCTGCAGAAATGGGTGGTGTCATTCCAGGACACCAAGGCTTGCTGTGGATCACTGGTGATGGCCTTCTTGAACTCCAGCAGCCACAGCCTATCTGTGCTGTTTCGGTCCAAGGAGCAGATGGCAACACGTGCACAGCATGCCATGAGCAGCAAGAGAAATTGTGGGTGTGGGATTGCAGTTGCACTATGCTTCTTCGTCCCTAGGCTTGGTATCTTCAGTAAATCTGAACCCTTGAGTACATGCATAGATAAATATACTGAAAAGGGTGGCAAATTGAAGTTCAGACAGTGTACTATAATTTATCAAAGACAGTGTACCCATAACTACATTTATCAACAACCAACAAAGGCAGCCTCTGCTGTTTCCAAAAGGTTAATAATATCAACAAACAACAAAGACAGCCTCTGTTGTTTCCAAAAGGTTAATAATTTGTTAGCTTTGCAGTTTGCTTGGTGAAACTAAAGTTGCTAGACAGATGGAGGAATTGGTCGAAGAAGAGCTCAAACTCAAAGCAGAGATAGTGAGATACTGAGATACACGCCTGCCAGTGCCAGCCAACGATATGTAGCTTGCTGATGAGTCGCTTGTTTGTTACTAGCCTCACGAGATGCACGGACCCTCCGGAACATATAGGGGTGTAAGGAGAAGCAGAGTTCTTATTTTTACCATTCGCCCGCAACAAAGACAGCCTCTTGTTTAGTACAGCAGTCCTGGTCATGGCCATGGAGGTTAACCGCTAGTAAAGAAACATGTCAGTTAACGTTCCAAGCAACCCATTGTGCGCCGCCGGCACACAAAAATCTTTTTAATTAGGGCCGGCATTCGTGTCTTTTGTGCTCGTCGGAGGTAGGTGTAGTAGGTCTGTGGGATCCACCAAATTTATCGAGTTAGTTGATTGTTTCTATAGAAATTGCAATGAAATAAAGCTGCATTTTTTATACAAAATATGTGTAATAACCATCGCCTGAAAAGATCCTAAAATTCAGGCGCATGAATTTTAACCAGACGCATAACTTTTGCTCTAAGCCTAGACATAATGTATCTCTAGATGCATAATAAAATCTATGTATCTATAAAAGACAGAATGACTTACAATTTGGAAAAGAGAGAGTATAAGTTACTTGAAGCATTTTACTATTTATTTTAAGCAATTAAAACCAAAGCATAGAATTAATTTCATAATCTATTCTATAACGCTCAATTTGGTCTGAAACAATTTCACTACTACAGAAAAACATCTTTAGAGGCGGGTAAAATAGGTTTTCAGAGGTGGCCAGCCCAAGCGCTGCAATGCCAGTGATTGTGAAGATTAGTGATTTTCAGAAACCGCCAACCGCATCTGAAAATCGATTTTCAGAGACGGTTGGCTTAAGTCAACCGTTCCTAATAATAATTTTCAATTTAAAAAAATTATTTAGAGGGTAATAAAAATAAGAAAAAAAATATTTTTAATGTAGCCCAAAGGGATGAGGACCAGCCACATCTCATGATTTATTTTGCACTTGTTTCGAATAAGTGTCAAGTGCTCGGATTTGAACCCACAACCTCTCACTTGCGCAATACCTCCGCTACCACCACACCATGCAGTCACTTATGTCTAGTTCTACAATACTGTCTATTTCTACTAATATATATGAATCTTGTAGTCAATATTTTATCTCATAAATAATCTTAAATGAGAAAACTTTCAATTACAAAGTTTAAAATCTCGTCAAACATTACAACTTTGATATAGAATATTTCTTCATCCAAGGTTATTTGAAAATTTTAAAATTTTGAAATTCAAAATCTGAGACTTAATTTATATATTTGGAACCCTAAATGATCTCAAACAAAAATTTTATCAACTACAACGTTTTAGATCTCGTTGAGCTCTACAACTTTGATACAAAATTTGTCTTCATCCAACTTCATTTAAAAAAGTTATGCATTTATTTGTGCTGCAGCCATTTTTAAGTACGGCTGACTTAGTCATCCGCCTCAGAAAATCAATTTTCAGAGGTGGTTGACTTAAGACAGCTGTCTCTGAAAATGAGTGATTTTCAGCAGCGGTTTTATTAAGTCAGGCGGTTGACTTAATAAAACCGCGGCTGAAAATCACTCGAGACGGTTGACATAAGCAACCGTTCTTAAAAATAGCATTTTCAGAGACGGTTTTCTTAACGGAACCGCCCCTACATTTTTAGAGACGGATTTCTTAATGTAACTGCACCTAAAAATTAATTTCTAGCAATGGTTGTATAGCTACCGTGCCTCCCGCAAAGGTTAGCGATGGCGTGCTAAGACAACTGCTTCTGTTAGAAAATGGAGGCGCCTGTAAAAATTATTTTTGTACCAGTGTTTGTCAATGTACCTTTACGTAATACTAGTTCATGCTATTTTTTCCATAATTCTTGGGTGAATGTTTTAACCCTAATAAAGTAAATAATAGATTCTGCAAAATAACCTTTGTAGGGAACATATAGGGCTTCTATGGTGATTTATTATTTTTATGTGGTAGAGAACAACATAACAAGATTAATAAAATTATATTTGCTATTACTAGATATTATACAAACAGTTATGAAATTTCAAGTTTTGCAGCACCTTTAAATGTTTTCCCAAAAAACAATCAATAGCTCACCAAAATCCTGAATATAAGTGCACCCGGTTGGGACGATGTGTAGCATCTGACATGTGGGGCCCTGTGTCCTCCTCATAGTGGTCGGTCAATACCATATAGAGGTCGGCCTTGACCGTGCGGAACGGCGACGACTCGGCGGTCGATCTCGCCGGTGGTGGGTTCTCCGGCGACAAGGGTCGCACCTGCAGCCTCAGCTGGGCGAGGCGCATCACTTGTTCTGGTTCTCTACGAGTCGGAAGGCACAGACGTCGGATGGCGGCATGGGCGGCGACGGCCCAGCTCGTACTCGTCGGCGCGCGAGGGGAAACAGCGGGTCGGTGTCCGATTCAGCCACTTGAGTGTCCTGTGAGCTTCAGGGGGCAACCTAGGACCCTGTGCTCTCGTCGAATCGTCCTGAGAAGGTGTGAGTGGGGCTGCCCTCGGTGAGGGTGCCAGTGGCGGCTCGGTGAGCATGGCGGCGCAGCGAGCCGCAAAAGCAGGGGTTGCAGCCTTGCAGGTGCCGGTTCGATCTTTCCTTGGTTCGAGGGTGCAAAGGTGAGATTGAGGGAGGCTCGTGTTTGGGTAATTGAAAGATGGTGGCGCGAAACGGGCGAATTTGGCCGAAGAATCCTGGGCGGCCATGGCGGAGCAGTCCGCGGTTTGCCAGAGGAGAAGGACCTCCGGTCAGGTGGAAATTTCTCAGCTTGATCTAGGAGGTGAAGGTTCAAGGTCTCAACGTGAGTTATCTGGAGTTCGGAATTGGAGAGCAGTGGCGTGGTGACGGAGAATTTGGCCAGCAGCTGCTCCAGATTGTGCTGCGCTGGAGCGAATAAGCTGGTGCCAAGCAGCTGCGTGTTAGTCGAGCTGCTGCTGATACTCTGTTCAGTGTTGCAAGTTTGCAACCAGTGCTGAACCAACTCTGGAGTTCAAAGATTTTCTCGCAAATTTATGGGTAAGTTACTTGACTTCCTGAACCAAGATTGTTCCTGGTACAATGTTATACTATATTGATTTAAGGACCAATGTGAACTTTCAATGGTTTGAAAGATACAAGTTCCTAACTTTTGCTACATGAGAATTGAGAAATGAAAATTCATTTATTGAGTTATTCGTTCAGAACCTATGCTGCTGAGCTGGTCCTTCGGTTTCGGCTAAGATATGTATCCCTGATTCCATGCAGCTTGGCAGCCACCTCCTGCATGCTGATGCGCTCGTTGGGGGACGTCTTGGTGCAGCAGAGTCCAATGTTGATTACAGACTGCAGGATCTGAGCTTCACTGTCCTTGATGGCCATTGGCGTCTCCATGCTGAGGTCCAGCCCTTGCAGCAGCTGTGGGTCAACAATCCGCAACACGTTGTCAGGGAAGTTGATCTCTGTGAACTTTACAATACCCATCCCATCCTTGAACATGCTATGTGTTGGCCTCCTCCGGATGAATATCTCTAGGAGAACGACGCCGAAGCTGTAGACATCCGAGGAAGTTGAAACCTGACCACCACCTGCACATTCTATAGATCACATGTAGAAAGATTTTAGCTAAAATAATTATAGATATTATGGAATGATGAACCATTATCAGGTTACCTATAGTGAGAAAATGTAATACCTGGAGCAACGTATCCAATGGTGCCCTTGATGGCAACTGAAGAGGTCGAATTTGTGTCACTGGTAGAAGCTGATGTCACGAAATCAAATATGAACCTTGCTAGACCAAAGTCTCCAACATGAGCTACCATGTCACCATCCAGAAGAATGTTGCTCGGTTTCAGATCACAGTGCACAATGGTTCCTTGGTGCTCGTGGTGTAGATACGCCAAAGCGTCTGATACATCTGCAATGATGCTTAACCTCTGAGCCAGTGAAACATTGTTCAAAACTTGAGAGTTCTCATCCCCACCGTCTCGAGCTGAGTACAGTAAGTGATGCAGATCTCCTCCTGGCATGAGCTCATATACTAGGGCCTTGAAATCATTTCCAGTAGAATCGATGGTTGAGCATGCAGTTAAGATAGGTACCAGATTGCGGTGCCGGACATTTCTCAAAGAACTACATTCTGCAATAAAGCTCTTTTGTGCTCCTCTCGTCTCGAGACTGAAGACCTTGATGGCAACCACATTTGCGTCACGAAACAACTGTCCTTTATAAACAGAACCGTATCTTCCCTGACCAATTAGATTGGATGCTGCAAAACCCCCTGTTGCTCTGACAATATCACTGTAAGAAATTTTCTGGAATTCTCTCCCGAGAGAGGGTAAAGAAATGGATTCTGTCTTCTGTTTTTGCCTCCGGATGAAGAACACAACAGAAATGACTACAGAAAGTAGCACCACTATGGCCACTGGGATCACTACTTTCTGTACAACTGATATCCTGTGCTTAGATGAATCCAAAGGCATGACATGACATGCAGGCAGGTGTAGCTCCAGCGGTCCACCACAAAGCTCCTGGTTTCCTTCAATCTGTATAGCAGTTGTATTCTTGAAGATCCCTTCTGGTGGCACCTCACCGTCAAGATTATTGAATGATAGATCAAGTTGCTTAAGAAGTTGTAGGCTGCCAAGAGACACTGGTATTGGACCAGTCAAGTTATTGTGAGACATGTTGAGAATCTGTAGGCTTGTTATATTGCCTACTGAAGTGGGGATACTTCCGCTGAAAGCATTATGTCCCATCTCGATATCTTCTAAACTTTCACAATTACCAATAGTGCTAGGAATGTTTCCAGATAGGTTATTTGATGAAATATCCAAATATGTGAGTTGTTTGGCATTGCCGATGTCGGCATGAAGTGGTCCATGTAGGTTGTTGAAAGATAAGGTAATCACCCTTAATGTTGGAATTCTGAAGAGCTCCTTAGGTATGTTGCCATGAAGATTGTTGTTGGAAATGTTCAGTGATCCAAGTGTTTGGAGGTTTCCTAGGATCGGAGGTATGTTTCCATCGAACTGGTTTGAGCCTATATGGAGTTGTTCCAATTGAGACATGTTTGCAAAGGATGATGGAATGGACCCGGTAAAGAAATTATTGCGTAGTGTTACTTTCTGTAGATTTGTGAGAGTTCCAATCCAATCTGGAACTACACCTATAAATTTATTCACGTTCAGTGCTAGACTGATCAGTTTGTGAAGGTTTGCTATACCAGACGGAAACTCCCCTGACAGTTGATTATCTGCCAAGAATAGAAACAGGAGTTGACCAGAAAGGTTGCCTACTGAATTTGGTACATTGCCTTGTAGCTGATTCATCGATAGTGAGAACACTTGTAGCTCAGTGCAATTTGCTAAACTATTCATAAATTCCCAGTCTTGATTGTTACTTGCTTGTAATTTGTTTATCTCAAGATTTAACCGAGTTAATTTAGAAAGTTTACCAATGGAGCTAGGCACAACTCCGGTGAGCTTATTCCTTGATATATCGCAAAGGTACAGCATGGAAATATTTGTGAAAGAAGGTGGGATACGCCCAAGGAAAAAGTTGGCGCCTAACTCGAGCATTTCAAGATTGGGAAGAGAGTTGCCAATATTTGGTGGTAAATCTCCACTTAGATCACACTCAGCCGCATTCAGTTCAGTTAGGCTAGAAAGATTAAGGATGGGCTGTGGAAAACTGCCTGAAAAATTATTGCCACCCATGTACAGATATTGCAGCCCTGACAACTTTGCACACTCACTTGGGATGCTCCCTTCAATGCTGTTACTTTCAAAACCAAACACAAACAGTGCTGTGATGTTGGCAAGAGAATCAGGAATGGTTCCAGTCAGATTATTATACCCAAGTATCAGCTGTTGAAGGCCATGAGGCAAATCTGCAGGTATCTGTCCAGTTAGTTGATTATTGGACAGCCCCAAAACTTCAAGTCTGGAACAATTTGCAACACTGGGTATCCTACCTTGTAGCGTATTATTAATCAAGTTGAGCTCTTGGAGGCGATGCAGATGACCAAGGGATGGAGGGATCTCTCCAGTGAATGAATTAGTCGATAGGATCAGGATTCTCAGGAATGTTAAGTTTCCAAGCGAAGGGGAGATCGGTCCAGCTAAGCCTTGATTCTGAAGACGAAGAGAAGTGACACGATTTGGGTGCTTGGTGCTACACTGGACACCTTTCCAGCTGCAGAAATGGGTGGTGTCATTCCAGGACACCAAGGCTTTCTGTGGATCACTGGTGATGGCCTTCTTGAACTCCAGCAGCCACAGCCTATCTGTGCTGTTTCGGTCCAAGGAGCAGATGGCAACACGTGCACAGCATGCCATGAGCAGCAAGAGAAATTGTGGGTGTGGGATTGCAGTTGCACTATGCTTCTTCATCCCTAGGCTTGATATCTTCAGTAAATCTGAACCCTTGAGTACATGCATAGATAAATATACTGAAAAGGGTGGCAAATTGAAGTTCAGACAGTGTACTATAATTTATCAAAGACAGTGTACCCATAACTACATTTATCAACAACCAACAAAGGCAGCCTCTGCTGTTTCCAAAAGGTTAATAATATCAACAAACAACAAAGATAGCCTCTATTGTTTCCAAAAGGTTAAAAATTTGTTAGCTTTGCAGTTTGCTTGGTGAAAATAAAGTTGCTAGACAGATGGAGGAATTGGTCGAAGAAGAGCTCAAACTCAAAGCAGAGATAGCGAGATACTGAGATACACACCTGCCAGTGCCAGCCAACGATATGTAGCTTGCTGATGAGTCGCTTGTTTAGTTTGTTACTAGCCTCACAAGATGCACGGACCCTCCGGAACATATAGGGGTGTAAGGAGAAGCAGAGTTCTTATTTTTACCATTCACCCGCAACAAAGACAGCCTCTTGTTTAGTACAGCAGTCCTGGTCATGGCCATGGAGGTTAACCGCTAGTAAAGAAACATGTCAGTTAACGTTCCAAGCAACCCATTGTGCGCCGCCGGCACACAAAAATCTTTTTAATTAGGGCCGGCATTCGTGTCTTTTGTGCTCGCCGGAGGTAGGTGTAGTAGGTCTGTGGGATCCACCAAATTTATCGAGTTAGTTGATTGTTTCTATAGAAATTGCAATGAATTAAAGTTGCATTTTTTATACAAAATATGTGTAATAACCGTCGCATGAAAAGAAACTAAAATTCAGGCGTCTAAATTTTAACCAGACACATAACTTTTGCTCTACGTCTAGACATAATGTATCTCTATATGCATAATAAAATCTATGTATCTATAAAAGGTAGAATGACTTACAATTTGGAAAAGATGGAGTATAAGTTACTTGAAGCATTTTACTATTTATTTTAAGCAATTAAAACCAAAGCATAGATGTAGCATCCGGTTTTAAGAACAAAATCAGATACACACCATATGTGAGCTCAGGAAGTCAAATCTCATATATAGCTACAAATAAGGGTAATATCAATGGACAATGCTTAAATACATAACGTATTAGTATAAAGAATATAACCTCAGAGTATAGACAATGAAAAGACAACTCCGATCTTCAGGCGAAGACTTCAAATCCACAGGGACAACTGACTGGTTGATCACAAGCATAAATCCGCAAAACTCTAGCAATCTGGTATCCATTCGGGATTTTTATCCAAATAATTAAAAATAAAGCAAGCGTAAGTACATGTCGTACTCAACAAATATAACATGGGGTTCATGAGGCTCAAAAGAC